ATGAAAAATTAACAACACGAAAATCAAATTGTCGCCTAATTGAGACACAAAGCACCAGCCAGCCAGTTTGTCATTCGGGTATTGAATTACGTACAAACAAATATCAAATTGAAATAGAACAGAGGAGTGGGTGTGGAGTGGGTATGGAGTGGGTACGGGATGGGTGGACGCACAGGCTGGCTTGGCTGTCAGGAGTAAGGCCACGGGATCGGGATTGGCGTGACAAATTGTTTGGCTTTGGCGCTGGCATTTGATGTCGGACTTGATTTGACAAATTAATTGAGTTAACTGGGAACTGTGGTGCTGCAGCTGGAGTGGGAGTTGGGGTGCGGCCTGGGGCCATCCAATCTATTCAAATATTAAAACAAGCAACCCACCAACCCCGTCCAATCCCAACCAATTTTCTGTCACTTTTAGTTGCATACTTTTCCTCAAAAGAAAAATCAATAAAAAAGCTCGCTCTCAAAACTTCCACTCACCTTATCGATACGAGTATTTATTTCAGAGAGGAAAAAAGGCACATCAAAGATAAGCCGAATATCCGTGCAATACATTTGGGAATATGCAAAAAGCGAAGAAGTAGGCGGGCAGGGGAGGGAGTGGGTACACATTTTTGGCACACAAAAGTGCAAACGGAAACCGGCCTAAGTGGAAATGTTTTGCCTGCAAAAGTATTCTGGCATCAGATTTTTCCGGCCCGGATAATTGCATTACTTCGATGCTGGCGTAAATAGACTCGGAGCGGAGCGTGTGGGTTGGCATCAAAATCAATGAAACCAAATCTCCGCTCTGGCTGACTGATGCTAATCAAATATTGCGGTTCCCATTGTCGGCGAAAGGTGAAAGCCCCGAAGATACATTTCCCGCTCGGTTGTGTCGTGCAGGATTCTCCATTGCTTTGACATATTAAATAATGTCACAACAATTACATGTGAGAAGCGGCGACAGTTCTTCGGTAAGAGACGACATATGGGGGAGGGACGAAGGACCGATGGCAAGTTCAAAAGCATTTTGAGGAAATCTCATGCTGCGCTGAAGCTGTCCACATGCCACATGCCACCCACCCACCATCCAAAAGGTTGCGGAAAATCCGCAAGGGTGGATCGAAGCGGCACACTGCTGGAGGATATCATTCAATCTCTACAGAAGTGAAACATCGACAACATTTGAGGCTCCCCTCGCGTTTACCTTTCGCAAATTTTTGGCAAGGGCAGAATTATATTTTCCAGCTTACTTTTAGTCTGTTTCTTTTATACATTTTCCCATCTTGTGTGCCGCAAAAGTTCCATTGTCAGTGGCTTTCGGCCGAGACGGAAATGTCTGTGGGTTTTTTGTCCATTGCCATCGACAGGCTTAGTGGCCTGACTGCCTGCCTGTGGTGGCTGCGGAGTGCTCAAGGATTTATTTTTGCACTGTCCCCTGTCTCTGGCCCTGGCCCTGCCCCTGTGTGTAAAAGATGAAGTGATAAAATTCTGTTGCCCGATTTGATGATTTCACTTCCCAATGGCAACGTTTCGGTTGATTTCTTGAAATAGATGTAACACTTACAGATTGTCATACTACAAATTGGTGGACATTTAGCATTACTCTGGGATGGGGTACATTGGTCAGGGTTCTTAAAGGTTTTCTCTAATGGATAGGGGTATATATGGTACCCAGATTTATACCGATTTGTGTGCCATATAACAGGCAGAAGGCATCGCACCTCTAGCATTCTATGACCTATAGAAACACCTTTCGATCTATTTTGTAGTACTTTTTACCACGCTTACTGAAACCACTTATGCCTACGCAAAAGCCTTAAGTTCTATCCATAGTTATAGGAATGTCTAGTACTGGAAGAGAGGTAAGAGTTTATCTAGTACTGGAGGAGAGGTAAGAGGTTAACATATGTGATGGCTATATAGGATGGATATATAGTATAAATACAACTACTTTGAAAGTTTAAATCTGTATTAGGGTAGGGTTGAAAGTAGGTTCGAAAGGCATAGAAGCGTATCAACACAGCATAGCTGCCTAATTGTACCCCATACTCAAAAAAAGTACAGGGGTATATGTATTAGGTTTGTGCACAAAATGGCTGTGTGTAACGCACACAACGAAGCGTTTTCGACCCCATAAAGTACATATATTCTTGATCAGCATCAATAGCCGAGTCGATAGAGACAAGTCTTTCCGTCTTCTCAGAGACTATAAGAGCTACGTAACGAAATTTTGTATCCAGACTCTTGAGATATCACGTTGAATCAAGTTTGTTTCAAAAGTGTGCCGCGCTCTTCCGCTCCATAAAGGACGACAATCTGTGGCATGGTAGCGTGGCCCTCTTTTCATTCTCCTTTAGGTGAATCAACCCATCATCTTCTCGACTTATGTCCCATCTATGTCACCCAAATTTTTTCATGTCACCCAATGGCTCTTCTCTATTTAAACCACTTCAAAATAAAATTCATTTTTAAATCCCTAAAAAGTCAACGATTGGGTAAAGATGCAATCGAGTGCCAGAGCAGCCACCTTCGAAGGGCAAACACGACCAATTTGAGTCTATTGGCCCACCGATTAGATAAACCAAATCCGACATTAAATTTCACTCAAAAGTCGTTCGGCTTTGGCTATAAAACGATGTTTGCACCGTTGGATGAAACCAATGCAAACAAGGAAACATGCAGGCCAAGGCGTTTATTTGTATCTCTCTGGGATTATTGGCCACGGTCCAGGCCGCCAGTGATCTAGCCACAGATGTCAGGCGATGTAAGTACCACTAATTCGTCTCTCAAGTATTCCATGCTCGGAGAATTAACTGAAATCATTTCCCAGGCTCTGGCAATAAGCCCTTTCCTCTGGAGGTTCGCGTGGGTGGATGCATCACGCCGCCCTGCAACGTTGTGAAGGGATCCACGCAGCTGTTCGAGATCGATTTCGCCGTGGACAAGTACATCACAAGCATGAAGGCCATGGTTAAGGCCACGACCTTGGGAATCATCACAGTGCCGTACGAGCTGCCGCCAGAAGTGGCCGCCGTTTGCCCCAACCTCATGTACGGCGCCTACTGTCCGCTGTATCCAACCGAGGATGTCACCTACTTGTTTTCCTTCCCCATTGGCGAGTATCCCGAGATTGGGGTGAAGGTGGAGATCTACCTGGTGGATCAGGATGGTGATACATCCACGTGCTTCGTGTGCGACATCAAGGTGGTCAAGGGCAATGGCAGCAGTTGAACATCAGCAGTCGGGAAATCGAGAAAATATTCTTTCATTTATTGGCCTTAAATTCTGTGATATATGTACATTTGCATCTGAAAGCAAATCCGTTTGGCAAATCAATCCCCCCTCAGCTGCTTACCCGCGAGGTCTCATGAATATTTAATAAAATTTTAAAAGCCCTGCCTCCCCCCATACATATTTATATGTATTTATGTATGGGGGGTGTTTGGCATTACCTCTGTACACGATGTGTTTTATTTTCATTGAAAATGTGCCCCAAATGCTGCAGCCAACCAACAAGGGACACTCGCGTGCTCTTTGATTATAATCTCAACTTTCCATTGGCCATTGCTATCTGGACACACAGCCAATAAAGTGTAAAATTAAGTGGTCGGTAGGCTATAATCGAATCAAATATTAATTCGCAAGTCTCTGGCCTGATTACCGCGACACACCTGGTCAGTCAAGGTAAGGTATCCAGGTAGCGGTAACCGCTTTAACCCGCAAGAGGAAGAGAAATGTACCGAGCTATCACTGTAGATTTCCCAAAACAAGCGACGAATCACAAAGCTTATCAATTCCCTTTCAATTCAAAATGCACTGGAAAAAGTTTTTCGACAATTTATGATTAACTTCCTGGAGCACAAATCGTGTAAACAAAGGGAAGATGTATTCAGATTGAGATCTTTCAAAGCTTAACGGTTTAAGAGGAATTTATAAGAAACTCTCGGAATTCTTTCATTAAATTGTTGTGCATTTTTCGCCAGATTAGTGTTCATTTTATAAGTTCCATATACTAATTCAGTATCTCTTGATAAGAATAGTTGTAATGTTTCCGCGTTGGTGAAAATTGCGTTCTACACAAAATCCGATTTCTCTAACTCTGATAGTCTCCGAAGAGAAGTTGAACAAGAAGATATTTTTGTACTTTATGTGGTTCGAAAACGCTTATTTCTGGGTGTTATATAGATAATACTCTAAGTACTCTAAGTATGAAAATATTCTAATCTATGCTATGGCGCCACACAGTAAACTGCCAGTGTAAAAATCATTCGAATAAAAGTTAGTGACACTAAACACAAAAACACTAAGCTTTTGCTGCGAAAGATAAAGCTCTAGAAAAATCACAAATCACCAAAATTAAAGATTAATGCACGCACATATATACACACATATAGATAAAGCTAAAAATCATTGATTTCATAGTTTTTTGTACTCTAGTTTGGACATATCTTTCGGCCAAAAAGGCGTATTTTTCCTGGAATTTAGGCAAGTGTACTTTTGCACCCAACCCAGCTAAAAGTGTGTGGCAGATAAGAAGAGGCCCACTGTTGACCATATGGGCAATTCGATCAATAAGCTGGCGGTCAATAAGTGATTATCAAATCGCTTTTTATTGCCCATTCAACTGGTCAAATCAGTGAAATAAATTACTGGTTCTTCGGTGCAAAGCGCAACGTCACCGATGACTGTGTTACATCTTATCGACGAAATGTGTTAATCGGCTGGTCGATTGCGGCGGGTACACTGGAAACCATGACGTAGTGAGGGTAAACAAACGGCTCTAATCTTTTGGGAATGGAATGGTTTGCATTTATTGACGAAGTAGAAGTAGTTAAATTTCAGTCAGGCCACACGAGTGGTGTCGCGTACTACGACCGTCTGTCTATGCCTCCTGTTCGGTTTGGTTGTCGCGCCAGTCCAGGAGGTATTCCTCCTGGGCTGCCGTCGTTCCCTTGCGGAGCTTGCAGCTGCAGATAAAGCACGTGATGACCTCGGCCTCTGCATCGACGAGCGTTACGGTTACATCGGCGGTGATCTCCGGGAAACTGGGCTCCACATAGAAGTTGAACTGGTAAGTGACGTCCTCGCCTTTGTCGATGGGACACATGGCACCATACATCAAATTGGTACACACATTGGACACTTCGTCGGGCAGCTCGTAGGGCAGATTCATACCGAACACTTTGGCCGTGGTCGTGGCTGTAATGTTCCTGATATTGTTGCTAGCTGGAAATGGATACATTTTAAATAACGTTCAGAGTTTTAGCCAGGCCAAGTACTTACTGCCCAGGAAGTGTACTTCCATTATGGCCGTGGTGCCCTTGTACACGGTGCACGGTGGCTCGTCGCAATCCGCCACTCTGACGCTCAGTGGAAACGGTTTATCCTTGCCTGAAATAATATATGAGGGATGAGCATAAAAGTAGGCTACATTTTGTGGAAAAAGTCCAGGCGATAAGAGACTCTGATAAGCGATATCACAACTGGTACTCTCTTGAGTTTCAGTCGCTTCTTTTTACGCTATCTGGACGGTTCCTGAGTTTTTTACATATATGAATATGTATTTTTAATTCAACATCTAGATTGTTGGGGACAGCTAAACCCAAAGTCTAGGACGTAATTCACTTGATGCAGACTAAGAGATGACAGCACCCACATTCATTTAAATTATTTAACTGAGCAAAAAAGTTGGCTATATTTTGTGGAAAATAGTTAATAGTTTTACCATTAAGCAGGGCTGCAGAGGACTCGCTCTCTTCTCTTGAGTTCTTGTGTATCAGTATGGAAGACTCTCTTGAGTTTCTTTCATAAAGGTATTTGTTTAAAAGCAGTATCGAGTTATCGTCTAGGTTGTTGAGGACAGCTAGACCCAAAGTCTAGAATGTGATTCCCTTGATTAAATGGCATTTTAAATTCTACTACATCTAAGAAATCCTTTTTTGTTGTTTAATGAGAACTTACATTGCTTTACATTCGTGGAATTCACTGCAGCCGCAAGAAATGCCAGAGCCAAAACAATCCGCAGCATATTTAGAATCGTGGAATTTCCTGTAATCTTTCACTTTGAAAATCTTTGACTGATTGTGTCGGTACGATCGCCCGCAGTTGATGGCCGTTAGGGAATGGAACTACTGGGGCAACTGGAGACGTTTAAATAGGCAGACGCTGTGCATGGGGCTTGACCGAAACGATGACCAATTGGATGAGGTGAGAGGGTTTATCAAACTCGTTGGGGATTGATACCAGACAGCCACGCAGGTGTTACAAAAGAAAACACAGAATGAGCTTGCAGGTGTTGCGCTCTGACGAAGAGCAAATAGGTCTAAATGAAATCAGTAAATAACGTAAATTCGATTGATAAGCCCGGGAGAGCCCAAAACTATGGGGCAGAGTTGCCGCCATGTGGCGCAAACATCCGGCAAACAAATCAGAATCTATAAGTTATATTATATGCTTTTCCGCATACTTTGATGTTGAAATTGAGTTGAAGGTATATGTGCTATATATCGGTATATAATGGTATATTTCGTCAATTTTATCAAGATATTAAATATCCTTTTCACTCGTTCCCTGTCAAACAATTTGTATTTGGCGCGCACCTCTCGTTTCCATTCGATAGTATCGATAGCCGTTTCTTATCGGTGGCAACATTGAATTTGTATGGGCGAAAAAGTACTAGCAACACTTAATGGAAAAATGAGCAACATTCCGCATACCCTGGAGAAAAGGATAGTATAGAGTAAGGGATATGTTTGTAATATCAGGTTCCAATGAATGCAGAAACTTATCCTTCTCTGTTTTAAAGCTATTTCAACGATATTTTACAGTATGTGGTCTTCTTAAAGAGACCAAGAGAAGGTATTAATCAGCTTGGAAAACAGAATTTTGATGTCAATTAAAGGAAATAGGGTATAAATATGTCTATTCTCATAGCGGATACCTGTTGACCAGCAACAATGAACATCAAAATCCATACCCTCTTTTTCATCCCATTATGTAGCAAAGATGTAGTTACCATGTAGTAATTGTATGTATTTTCAAATCAAAACAATTCAAAATCCAAGAGGGCCCTACCAATTGTTAATATTGCTACAAAGATGGACATCGAAAACACAAATTTGGAACAGTTTCTGGCAGAGAAGTACCCTGGTCTAACCGCAGAACGAAACAAAACCGGTGCCCTCATAATCCGAGGCGTGGCGTGCAGTGAGGTAAGTCCCGAGTCTGCACAATTTCCCGCCCAATTGATAATAAACATATTTCCGCAGGGGAACTGGCGTCGCCTGAAGCTCTATCTGCCGCATCATCCGGCCTTGGCGGGCTTTCAGTTGTATGTGCAGGAGCAACTGGAGTACAAGTGCTACACCGGCAACAACCTGCAGGTGAAGGATGATTGGCTGCTGGAGGATTTGTTGTCGCATTTGCCGAAGCTACTGCCGCCCAAGGAATCATTTGAAGGCTTAAATGATTCTGTCCAGCGCAGCAATATATACGCCGATATCCTGGCGCTGCACAAGCCCCTGGAGTACCGCTTGCAGATGGACGCAAGCTGCTCGCGGATACGTTTCAGCCAGTTTCCCGATTTCGATCAGCACTATCTGGAGCTGGAGGTGCCCACGATGCGTCTGCTGGAGCACAGTCTACCCGACTGCGTGATGTTGGGTGAAATGTTGGCCAAGAGCGCCCGAACGCTCAGTGACGGGCTGAATCTGTTTCGGAAGCTGCTGGAAGAGCTGCGCACGTTCTACGACAACTTCATGGACATTGATGAGCTGTGTCATGTGCTGCAGCCATCGCCCATTACCACCAAGCACAACACTCGCGTTTTCCCCCTGAAAGAGCGGGTCTACCTCAAGGTGACAATTGTTGATCCCTTCGCCTGCATTGCCTCCATGGCCCTGAAGATCATTGGACCCACCGAGGAGGTGGCCCGCTTGCGACATGTCTTAAGCGATGGCCTGGGCAATTGGGACCCAGATCTGGACATGCACAAGAATCTGCTGCGCATCTTTGACCTATGCTACTTTCCCATGCCCGACTGGAACGAGGAACACAAGCCGGAGGAGGAACAGGAGAAGCACTGCAACATTTGCTTCGTCTACCGCTTGGACAGTGGCGAGGTGCCCATCGTCTCCTGCGACAATCCACGCTGTGTCCTACAGTGTCATGCCGCCTGCCTGGAGGAATGGTTCAAGACGTTGCTGGATGGCAAGACCTTTCTGGACGTCTCCTTTGGCCTATGTCCGTACTGCAAGGCGGTGAGTAGTAAAATCGAACGTAAATGAAGCATTGTGTGTACAATCATTCCGTCTCTCCTGCAGAAGCTGTCCACCTCATTCGCGGCACTCTTGGATGCGGCGTAAGGCCAAAAGAAAGTCTCAGTTAGGATGGATCAGCCTTTAAATTTAATCTTAAACTTCAATTAAATATAATTTACTTCAACTAAATCAATCTTTCCGTTTGCACCTAAGCCCGTAGAACGTATATAAACCGATCTCAAGTCCTCTAAATGTGTTGTATAGACAATCAGATTTTTAAAAGTTATGTTTTTATGAAACAAGTCCTAATTAAAGATGCTCCCACTGCTCATTCCATTCCCTCGGAAATGACCCTCAGCATGTTGCGCACCACAAAGTTGTTGCCGTTTACGGTGGCACTGTCGCCTGCCTTGCCAATCCGCACACTGGACCCAGCCAGGCCGTAGAACACCTTGGGGGCCAAATTCGGCTCGACAGCCTTGAACTCCCAGCCGACATGCTGGGCACAGAACTTGCACAAGATGATGTGCCACTGGTAGCCGGGGAACCAGCTAAATCTGGTGGACGGCTCACCGCTGTAGCCAATGGCATGGGATATCACCCGGTACACAGTGTTCGTCTCGTGTATATATCCTCCTGGCAAGAGCAGAAGCCGAAATTAGAGTCAATTTTCAACGGAATGGACGACGACACTCACCAGGATTGCAGTACTGTGTCTGCACGCCATGCTTGGACATGGCAAACAGATCTGAGCAGTAGGCAAGGCTGCTGTTGCAGTAGCGGCAATAGAAGAGCGTCTCCTCCTTTAGGATACCGCCGATGAGTTGCAGGCGCAGGTTCACCGAATCCGTAAGGAACATTTGGCTCATCATTTTCTCGGTCAGATGGAGATTGCGCACCAGCCAGAATGACATCTGTATGGGACACTTTGGCATTGTGTCGATCTTGTGTACCTCGAGCTTCTTGCGCGCCCGCTCCACAATATCCTCGTATGCGTACTCCTGGCAGACCTCGACCGGCCACGGTGTGCTGGAGATCTGATAGCGGAGATACTTGTCTCGCATGGAGGGTATGTCCCGGAAGCGACTCATCGACCCCATGTCGATGCACTTCAGGGGCTCGGGCAGAAAGTACTCCGGTAGTATCTTCACCTTGCTGTGGCACTTGTTGGTCGGATTCCGTGCAATGTACTGGGGCAGGCTGAAACGACTCTTAAGGATTAGAAGCGAGTGCAGACATGGGCGCACTCACGACTCCGACACTCACCCCTTGATGTCGCTGCAGTTGATGACAATGCGCTGGAGGGCCCGGGACTTGTAGAAGGTCAGGTGGCGTCCGTTGTCGCCCTTCTCATAGATCTGGCAGGTCACTCCATACAATTTTTTGCTATCCTCAGGTGGCTTCATCAAAGGAAAAGCGACGGCAAAAATCAGACCATCCAGTCCAGACATATCGTCGTCGAAGAGGCTGCCATCGATCATAAAGGGCAGCACCTCGCCGGGAAATAGGATGTACTGGTGCAAAAAGATAAGCATGTGGTGCGTGCTGCCCACCTCCTGGTAGTTCACGCCGGGCACTCGATTCAAGTTCGGGCCAAAATACGAATGTTCTGCCGGCAGATTGGTGTCGAAATGCACTCCCTCCTCCATGTCGATATCTATGGGTGGCCTCGGTGGCGGAGGCGGCGGATGCTCCGGCAGTTCATCATCTTCAGCCTCCGGGCTAACTTCATCGCTGTTGCGACTCCGTCGCCTCTCCTGGCTGAATACCATACTGCGGACACGCTGCAAGAAGTTGTCCCTGTTCAAAAGCGCAGCGATTCCTCCGTCCTGATTTCGAGCCTGCGACACCATCATGTCCACGGCGAAACGCAAGCGATTTTGGGGTATCATCCAGCGTGGCATGGCCTCCACATCGGAGTCATCTGCGCGGATGTTGTCAATGTAATTGAGCATCAGACGAAGGCCATCCACTTACCCTCACTGTTTGGACTATCCAAGGACATGTCGCTGCCAGGGCGGTTGTAGCTGCCATCACTCTCGGTACCATCGTCCAGAACTATGTCTTCCTCACTGGGTCTTTCACCTCCGGCATTGGCGGATCCCTCGCCATCTGCCGATGGGCCAGGAACTGGGAGCGTGCCCTCCTCCGCAACCTCGCCGGACGGTCCAAAGAAGCGTTCGATCATGGCCGCTTCCATTTCGGCCGTCTCCTCGAAGACATCTATGACCCTCTCCACTGCAACGGAATCGTCATTCGGTTGCACTTCTGCCCCACTCGGGCCTGCCGCTGCCTCCCCCGCAGAGCCAGCAACCTCCTGCTCTTGTGCATTGATTTCTGCGCAGTAAAATGTGTATAAAGTGTGGCTGCAGTTTGCTGTTGAACTTCGTTTTAGTTGCGTCCTACCTGCTGTCTCTTCCTCATCCATTTAATCCGTTTGGGTGTGGGAGTTTTGAGTCTAGTTGTAATTGTAATTTTTATTTATTTACTTTTTATTTTGACAAAGGAATTATCGATAGTACGTGAAGACGACTCTATTGACCAGGGCGGAACACGCTTAAATTTTGAATTCAAATATTATGGGGATGCGTGAAATTCATTGTGTTTAAACTAGGATTAACCTCAAGCATATCTAAGGCACTCCAGTTAAATCAAGTATACAATGATTAATCGAAACCATATAAAGTGAGCGAGAGAATTCTCTAGATAGAATTGAATTTTTGATACAAGAGTATACCTGAAAAATTAAATTCAGCTTTGGAGACGAATTTATCGTATGTCCTCATGCTATCGCTGTCCTTCAGACTAGATTGGTCTTGAAGTGTAGTGGAATACGACCATTATTGGTTTTATCACATCTATAGTTCCACAGTTTGCCAAACAGAGGTTTTCGAGTTGTTATATTACATTTTTATTAAATAAATGGGATCACATTGGATTTGTATTTGGGTCGTTTCTACAACTTTATATGTTTCATAGAGAATCATTCAAATCTGCACCCGTTTTAGAGGTCCCCCCAACAGCCCCATAGTATCAGCTGTTCGGATCCAACGACTTATTGTATATATAAAAGATCGATGCCAAATAAGCGCCCACAAAAGTTGGATCTACAAAAGGGGAAAGTCGCGACTTGTTCTGCTTGCCGTTTGTTATCTTGTAAAGTCCGTCCCATCGACCTGTTTTACATAGCAATAAATAAAAAAAAAAAACAAAAAATCTACGGAATGATCAAGACGAGACTGCTGCTGCTCTGCGCGCTATCGGCGTTCCTCATGGCCATCGAGGCGCAGATAGCCTTCGTGGAGGACGCGGACATTGATAAGAAGAAAGTTAACTTGGCGGTAAGCTGTCGAGAGAGACTAGACGACACGAGCTTTGTCCCTGCTCTGCTTTGATAAGGCAATACAAAAGTGCATAAGTGAAAGCTAATTTCGGGAATGCCGAAGTTCGTATACCCTGGGGCCGAAAAATATATATTTCGAGTCTTGAAAGATGGCGCCAAGAACAGCAATTATGAAAAATCAAGTTTCTCCTGTAAAGACTGGTTTTTTTCTCCTTTCTGCTGTTGCCAACTATAATACTCTCTGAAAGAAAGGGTACCAAACAGAGGAGCTTTATAATTATATTTATTGATAATCAATCATTACTCTCCCGCTCCCTCTTTGTACAGGGTCGAAAGCCGCTCTATTCGCCGGCGCGATGCCCGCGGTACCAGCTTCTATATCCAGGGGATCAGCAGCTCGATTGGGTCTGTGACTGTGCGCCAGGTGAGCATATGGCAGGCGATCAGCATTTCCGAGCGATGACATAATGTGCTCGGGTACTTCCCCTGTCTGCTCTGCTAGCCACGCTCTACTACCCGGAGACGGACGCCTGCTATCCCGCCTACAGGCAGGGCCCGTGCGAACAGGGCCAGATGCTGGTCCTCTACAAAGAGAAGATAATACCCGAGTGCGTGAGGAATCCCTGCAACACGGACGGCCATTTCATGATACGCGACACTTGCTACGAGTTCGGCAACACCAAGCACGAGGGCAATCCCTGTCCCTTCAAGGAGTACACCTATGTGCTGGGCGTAAATCCAATTAATCTGATGGTGGACTGCGTGAAGCTGTCGGTGCAGCTGGAGACGCGCATATCGCAGGACGAAGCGGCTGCTCCACCGGACTACCACATTGAGCTGGCCGAGAAGTGCTCCCGCGGCAGCCGACTCCTTGCCCAGGGACGATGCACATAGGCAGTCGAGACGATTCGAATCAAATTCAAAAGAGATTTAAACCATAACAATAAGAATTCTTTATGTACAACAAAATCTATCCAGCTTTCGCTTTCTTGACGGTTTCGGGTTTGACGGTGTCCTCCTCGATTAGTTCCTCCGGCCCAAGGTCGTCCTCCTCGGGCAGATTAACAACATCCTCAAGGCTCTGCTCATCGTTGGCCGTCTCCAGCTTGAGCAGGGCATTCTCCATGGAGGCCAGGAAGGAGCTCTCCTGGTACTCCGGCCACTGGCGGAACTGTCTGAACAGTGTCAGCATCTGGCTGGGCCTGAGGTCTCCGAACTGCGTGTAGATGTTGATGCCCGGAAAGTAGTCCCTGGTGCTCATCGTAGTGCTTTGTATGGTGTACTGTGGCAGCTTCAGCGGCGACTCATCGGGATATGTGGGCGAAATCGGCTCAGAGGCGTGCGGATTGATGATCAGTCTTGGCCCACAGCCGGGCACCCATTTTCTGCAAAAAGAGAGTGCATCAAATGAAGGCGGTTCTGGCTGGTTGTAGAGCCTTCTACTCACTCGAGATTGGGTATTATACGATTCCGCCGGCTCACCATGTTCTGCTTGATGAAGAACCAGAGAGCTATTAGGTCCTGGGGCGAACACAGCTCGTGGAGATTGCGTCTGGGCACAAATTTAACCAGATACAAGTACTCCGGATTGACGGACCGCACCTTGCCCAGCTTGCTGCTCTTCGTGAGCTTATAATCGGCCTGCAGCGGAAGGAAATCCTCCCGCGGCACTTTGGCAATAAAGCGATGCTCGAAGAGTATCTGGAAGAGCACCGTCGTGGAGCGGTAGATGAGGTACCCCACCTCATTGTCGCAGGTCAGGTGCTGCAGGAGCAATAAATTGTTCGATTACCACGAATCGGAATGTGGGCAGTGCTTGATTGTAGTTACTATGTAAATGGGGGGAGGCATCGCTAGAATCATTTCGCAGCGACCCAGGTTGTAAAGACTCGTCTGGAACACGAGCGAGTTGATGAGATGCTTGAAGAACGCATACGATCCCACGGCGCCAAAAACCAGCATGTTGATATCTGCACCCGAACAATCAATGGGTTAGTGGTTGCGTTGCCCCGTTCATCTGTTGATTTCTCACCGTCTGTGAAGGGCCTCTGGGGCACGTCGTGCAGCAGCTCGGCCACCCGCACCCCATTGTCCATCTTGTCCATGAAGACCAGCTTCCACAGGTTGACCAGGTCGCCGTGGCGCACCTTCACCCGCTCCGGATACAGTGTGTGCAGCTCATGCAGCCGGGGCATGAAGTAGTCCATGCTCTCGAGCAGAATAATCTTGCGGAACTGCGTCTCCCGGTCGAGCAGGTGCCGGGTGAAGTGACCAGCTCCGGGATTCAGCTCCAGGACTGTGTCGCAGCTGGTCTGCTGCAGGTGCGGTTCCAGGTACTGGCCAATCCTCTGCGCCGTCTTTGCATTAGCCACATACATGTGCGTAGGTGTTTTCTGCTTTTTGCTGAGCAGCTTCTCTGGGTACTCGCCGCTGTACCGGGCCACCAACTCCCGCTTGGCCTTGCTGCTGAAGCAGGCGGCGCTTCTGCCGAGCCTCCAGCCAGATCGCAGTGGCAGCATGGCGGGTACCAATTTAATAAACAAAATCTAAAGTTTAAAAGCCGACCCCCGTTTGTTTACAAAAGCAACAGTTGGATCAATGGCGTTTTGCAACACTCAATCATTAACAGCTGTATGTAATACAAATTGATGTAAAAACATCCATGTAGCGATACTTATCGAATAGAGGAGGCCAATCATCGGCTAGTTGCTACAAAACTTGTTGTTGTTTTTGGTTATGTTTACGGGCAGAATTTTCTTTTCATCGAATTTTGGAATATATTGTGAATCCTTAATTAAAACATAAGTTTTCCGGCCATGGGACAGGTAGCTTCGATGATTGCCCGCCGGGCGAATCGCTTCAATGCCGAGAATCGCGCCCATCGCATTATTGAGCGCGAGAAACCCACACCGGCGCCCAAATTCGATTCTAATCTTAGGGACATGGAACGCACCCTAGAATGTAAACTATTCGGACAATAGTCGGGGATGTTCGGACTTTGCTTAATCTCGATTATTGCTTCCAGTGGATCCCAAGTTCGTGGACAAACTCAACCTAAAGGACACCACTTTGGACACGCGACTAAAAGACGTTTATGTAACGTCACAGGATCGTTTTGTGGGTTAAAGAAAACGCTAAACAGATCGATAAATACTCATAATATGCTCCCCTAGATTGCACGGGTACAGGAACGTCAGGCGGCGGAGTCGGCAGCGGACACTGCAGAGCAGCGACCTCTTCCATTGGAGCGCAAAACTCCGGATGACTATGAGTACGGCTACAAGGAGCCCAATCGCGTCCTGACCGGCCATTGCTCCCTGCGGCAGGCCCTCAAGTTCATCAACGACCATCAGATCGAGCCGGAGTTGTGGCCAGCCAAGAAAATAGCCGACGAGTACAAGCTGAAGGAGACCAATGTTGGTAAGAATGGACGAATCTCCGCCTGCAGAACCCGCTTTCATCCTTTTGTTCTTACTTGCAGAGAACATACTCCATTACTTTAAGACGTTCAATGTGTACATACCCGACCAGAAGTACAAGGACACATTGCTGACGCAGGCCAAGCAGAAGATCAATTTGCTCAAGGAGAAGACCAGCGTCCCGGACAGTAGTTCATAGTTAGCCTCTACCACAAAATAGAACCCAATTGTTGTTTAATCCTACGATTTATTGTACAAATCAGACCATGGCGTTCGGTGGGCATTCGTAAACGTTGAGAGACCTGTCCTCCGAAGCGGAAATCACCTTGTCGTTGCCGGGGCTGTAGCGCACGCTCCACACCTGATCGCTGTGCTCGTTGAATGTGTGCAGGCACTTGCGCTCCGAGGAGTCCCAGATTTTCACAGACCGATCGCTGGAGGAGCTGGCAAACCGCTTGCCATCCTCGGAGAAGGAGACGCACAACACCCAGGAGGCATGGCCCGACAGCGTGCCCACCACATCAGAGTGCGCACTGCAAAGGGAAGGGGGGTTACAAAAGGCGCTTCAGTTGTTTCGGTGGCTGCCACTTACACATCGTAGAGCTTCATGTGTCCATCGTCGGAGCCGGTTAGCAGCATCTGCGAGTTCGGGGAGAAGCACAAACTGCGCACGGGCATGGCATGGCCCTCCAGGGTCTGTGCCACTTTGCCAGCGGCCACATCAAAGATGGTGATGATGCCATCAATGGCTCCGCTGGCTATGTATTTGCCATCTGGACTCTGCAATGCAAAATGGAATAATTGCAATGGAGCAGTCTACGGCCTGGAGGTCAATGGTTGGTCGCCTTACATATGCAATGCTCAAAGTGTATTTGCCATTCTGGGCATCCAGCACCTGCTCCGCCTTGCCCGTCTCCACACTGTACATGGATATCTTGCCGTCGTTGAGACCAGATATGACGTACTTGTCGCACGGCGAGAAGCCCACTGTCCACAGATCCACTGGCCCGAAGGTCAGCAAATGTTTCTTGTCCCCAGTCCTGGCATCCCACAAACACATCGTGGAGTCCAGGGAGCTGCTGGCAATGGCTTTAAAAGAATAACATGAATTTAGATCGTTAAAATATATATTCAAGACTCACTTTGACCATCGGAGCTGACGGCAACGGAGACGACGCCCAGGGCATGCCCCTTCAGGGAATGGCGGAGCTTCAGTGTGTTATCCTCGCGTATGTCCCACACTTTTACCAGATCATCGAGACCACCCGTAACAATGAACTCTTTCGGCTTGGGCTCCTTTTTGTCAAAGTCAAAGGGATTCTCCTCTTCCGGCTCCGTGGCGGCATCTTCTTTTGCAGCCGGCAAGGGATCGCTGCCCCATGTGCAGCTCCACAGCGAATTATCATGCGCATTTTCCTCTCTGTGCAGTAGCGAGAACTAAAAATGATTGTTTAGTCGATCATTTGGCAATAGCAGGACCGGACTCACCATTGTAAACAATAACTTAAGAAAACGAAAATTTATTTCGCAAAATGCTTGATAACAAACAGTGCGATAGCTATCGATGACGGTAAAATAATTTAATTATCGAAAATGAATCAAAAGTATCGAAGAGAATGAAACTATCGATAGTGGTGGAACATTTTCGATAACTATTTTACGTTAGACACATGAGCCCAGAAATGAGCAAAATTCGGTATATTTTTCAAATGAGACCGTATATTTCAGTGCTGTTCTGAGGGTCATACTGTAGAAATACTGGTTTTCGCCGCGCTTCCATGTGGTATTTTTTAGTGCTGAATGGTATTTTTGTCAATTTCATCAATCTATTAATTTAATTTTCAATGTTATATAGAAATCCAATAAATGCAAGTATTTGGAATAGGTTAATCATGTATAGAATTGATTCATCAATCGTACAAAATTGAGTGGGCATGGCTAAATGTTCCATGTAGATAGTATTATTCAACGGAACAAAGAATATGAGGAATTGGTCGTTTTTTGAATCGAATTTGAATTCGCCGCAGTTTGCCGCAGTTCGCCGCAGTTCGCCGCAGTTCGCCGCAGTTTCGCTATTGCAACAATGAGTCTCATTCCATACACAAACATGTTGCTAATTCCAGGCACACATACCCTGGGGGAAATGAATGTTATAGAATTGTGAATACGTTTGTCTTCCAAGGCTCAGTAGGTATCAGGATCGACATAAATATATACAAGATACTAATAACGTACTTGAATATGTCTAAAGAATATCAATTTGAGAAAAGGTATTTATATATCACGTTTCATCTTCATATAAAATTAGCGAAATAGGGTGTACAAAGGGCTATACACGCATCATTCTTCAAATACCAGCAACATTGCAACTGATTTTTTGTTGAACTATTTTGTTTAAACCGTGTTTTACAATAAATACAATAAAAGCAAGGATTAAAAACTATCCAATCTTGTAGAAAATTGATTCATTAATCGTGTAAAATTATGTGGGCATGGCTAAATGTTCTATTTAGCTGGTAATATTCAACGGAACAAAGAATATGAGAAATATGGTTTCCAATCCTGACGGAGAACGATTAACCTATTACAAGCCAAGGGGGTATTTCAATTTTCCACTGAAAATAATGAAAATTGAATCATTTTAGCGCAGTTCAGCTGAAAAATATCGTGGTTTTTTTTAATAGTGGAGATGGCATGAATCCTCAAGAAGAATTTACAATCAGTAATATTTTCCGCCATTTACCTCAAGTAGTTGAACTACATAAATAGAGGGGGCTTTAGTGGGCTAGTGGAACCATCGATAGTGTCGATAGTGGCATCGATAGTTCTCCACCTCTACTCCAAATTGAACCGCGGTCATACTGGTTTTCGCCGCGCTCCCTGTCAATTTCATCAATCTATTAATTTAATTTTCAAATTTATATAGAAGTCCAATAAAAGCAAGTATTTCGAATAGGCCAATCATGTATAGAATTGATTCATCAATCGTACAAAATTAAGTGGGCATGGCTAAATGTGCTATATATATAGTAATATTCCACGGAAGATCAAAATCGAGGAATATTTTAGTACAACTTGAATTCGTCAGTATATTTACGGTATATTTTGAAAATGAGGCGGTATATTACGATATATTTCTGATGGTCGATAACGATGACGGTTAACGATAAGTCCGCGGTCACACAGAACATTTTTGCGCCCCCGGTAAACAACGTGAAATTTACGTCGAATTTTGCTCGGAAAAATATCAAAACAAGTGCAAGTGAGTTGTGCAGCGCTCTGCAGAAGTGTATAAATGCAATCTGAATTGAATGCAAGTGTCGTTATATAATGCGAGTGCTAAATAAAAACGCACCCAAGGTGTCATTCTTTATAAGGGAACAGTACGGACGCTGTCGCCGATTCCGACGATTTTGATGACCAACTACGAAAAACGGACCAACGCGTGTTCTTTATTTTAGTTGATTTTTTTCGTTCGTATTTTGTCTGTGTCCGGGAGCCGCGTGTCTGGAATATATTAATAACATTTATAGTGAAACTTTAAATGTGTGTGTGAGAGTGTGGTGGGGGGCGGTCTGCGTGTGTGTGCAGCAGCAGCAGCAGCTGAAGAATATTTTATCATTCATATCTGCGTCAAAAAGCGAAAAGAAAACTAAATGTAATTCCTTTTAATGCCAGGATTTGCCTGCTCTCTCTGCGGCTGCACACGCACTTTCCATTCTTCCTCCCCTTCGTTCCATTTGTGCAATTAACCGGAGAATAAGAAGAAAATAATAATACAAGAATTCGCCTCGCCGCACTTTCTTCCATGTGTTTTTATGTGTTTGTTTTATTGATTCCCGTTCGCATCCATCTCTCCGTTCGCGTTTAGTCCCCCCCACAAATCCCGTTTAACTGTTCTCGCTCTCTGCCTCTACCTCGCTCTCTCTCTTGATTCGGTTCGGTGTAAACAAGTTTATCTTTAATTTTGTCTCATCTTCATCTTCTCTTCTTGTTTTTGTTGTGGTTCTTCCACGCGACTGCTGTTTTTTTATCTCCAACAAATTTTAATTTGCAAATCGCTTTCAAAATAAATCAAATACAACAGTTTTTTAGCTGAATTTGTTAATCATAAAGGTGAGTGAAATCCGATGATAAATATTTTTGTATGTGAATTCTTAGCAGATTTGCATAATATGGTTTTATGTAATCAAATGTGAGTTTTATGCAAAAATCTGGTTCTTATTATAAGCTTTCCACGCTTAAAATACTGACTAGATGGGTGGTTCCATACAATACAAAATTGTCTATGTACAAAATTCCCCTTTTGTGCCATAGAATGTTGAACAGTCGATTGTAGAAGGATTTCTAAAATTGAAGAGAATACTGCTTGCAGCATTCATGTGTCTGCCTTTGATGCTGTCAAGAACTGCTTGCTAACTGTGGATTCTCAAGGAGTTCGGGAGCGCAACAGCACTGCTTGCAGCACTTTACAGCAAAAGAGAACTGCTTGCATAAACGGATCTTCTCCCTTCCAACACCTCTCTCGCGGCTGCGGCTCTGCCCCAGCCTTCACACATAAACGGTATTTATGGATAAGAAAAAAAGCTGTCCCCTAAGAGGTGCTCCACACACACAACAAATCAGCAAACAGCAGAAATGGGATGGGCAAAAAAAGTAGACCATAAAACATAAATGCATTCACGGCTGCCTGCTGCCATTAGTGTGAAAACTTTTCACAATATCATGTTGAAAAAAAAAACACACACAAGAACAAAAACCAAATGGAAATCCAGGGCAGGCCAAGAGGGGGAAGGAAAAGACAAAAAAAACGCAGAGAAAAAGCCTAAGCCGATGAGCAACTGTGGGCCGCCTGCCCTCGCGGAATGTGAAACAAAGTTATTATTCGAGTGGAGAGAGTGGAGAGAGCGGAGAGCCTTGATCGAGGGGGGTACTGGCCTGCCCTGCCCCTGCCCTGCCGCCTGCGGAGTCAAGTGCGGAAAAGCGTTGGCTGGGAAAAGCGTGACAAAGTCAAAAGCAAGGCAAAAACTGGAGCGGGGCAATATTTTTGGGCCATCTCCATATGACATCATTGCCAGGGGGGGGGGGGGACACGGTGGAGACGACAATGACAGAGCAAAAAACAAAAAGAAAAGCCAAGAAAATACAAGAGAAAAATGCTGTTGAGCCAGCGAAAAGTACTCGCAAAAGATTTGATGCATTAGCCTTGACATTATTTCAAAGAAAAGTGCAACAAAGAGTGGGAGCATGGGAGAGGGGTAGTACTTTTGGGTCTCTTGGGATCCACTATCATCTACTGGCCCCAGGGGATCAAGCCGATCCTTCAGCCACGCTGATAAGTGATATCAGTGCTCGTTCATCTCATTGTACAATAATAAATGGCATTCATTGAACTCTGGAGGGCATTGCCCAGACACCAGACATCTTCACGCCACAAAGACTTGCAGATCTCGAAAGTATCTTTGGCTCGGCACTCTAGCAAATGATAATGCCAGTGGAAATATCTAGTATTCTGCTGGGACTGGGGGCCACCTAAAGTACTTTTGCCGCCTGCATAGCCAGGGCCAAAGAGGCTTTTGGCCATAGATAAGATAATAATTTCAATGCTATTTTTAAACCATAATTTTCATAAGCCGAAATTTCATTTGTAGAAGGTTATTCTTCAGAAATGATATCCCCAAATTAGGGCCACAATAAGCCATATTTGTGGGCAGTAGAATTTTTGGTAAATATTTTTATTAACCATTTAAGGGGGGTCCCAGTTTATGGTCAAATGGGGCCGATGGGGGACATATATGGGACAGATGTTGGATTCATGTAAAATGTGACATTTTCTTTATTAAATTGGATGTCTTAGATTATTTCCCAGGATCGAAACCACACAAAATAATCTATATCCCTTTCTGCCCTTTAATCCTTGAATCACTTAACCCATCTGTAACTCTGTTGATCTCTTCCCCTTGACCTTGCCCCAGTGCAAAATGCCATCAAGTGAGGGGTGAAAAAGTACGTACAAGATATGAGACCCCGCTCTTCCCTGGAAGCACTTGAAAATCGAGTGTTTTTACCCCATAAAACCATTTTTTTGAAATTTGAGCAGCTGTCTCTTGGTCTCTCTCTCGCTCTTTCTTTTTGGGTAGTGTTACGCTCCCTCTGTTCCCTGTCTTTGGGTAGTGTTTCTCCCCTCTGTTAACCCCTAAAAAACGCAAATTGATATCTTCTAAAGTCTACAACTGATAAAATGTCAAAAAAAAGACAAATTTGCGGCCAAGGCTATGGGTTTTCTTTATACAAATAATGAACACACCCCTAATCAATCTAAAATACTTAAAAGTGGGGAAAAAGGAGTATATAGTATTTCTAATATTTATCTGGTTTTTTTTTTTTTTAATTTACAGAAAGTTTCCACACTGTGCGGGAGCTCTTTTTACAGCTTCCATTGTATAAAATCAGAACCCCTATATAATAAAGATGTGACGATTATAATTGTATCGATATTCCAAAAAAACCTACAAATCGAAAGCCTAGATATAGGCCTATAGGGATATATTGGTTTTGTTTGCCCATCTCCGACTTAAGGGACTCAACACGCGTCGTGCAATAGCTTTCATCGTTTACTTCGAACATTCTTTACATCTGAAAGACTTTTTTAACCAAGTGATCGGCTCGATCTGTTGGAGTATCGCAGTCTTCCAGTCACCAGATGAAGCCTTTCTTTCTTTTCTTCTTGTTTTCACGCCTTTCACGTGTTTATGGCCCCCTTGCCCCCCATTACCTCCCTCCCGAGTGCGTTTGCTTCATTATTAATCGCATTTTTGACGCCATTTTATTAACAGACGTGTGCTCTATGGCCAGTGGGTGAATGGGGCGGAGGGGGAGGTAGGCCGTTTTGGGTGCGGTGGGGGTTAGAGGTGCAAAAGAAGGCGTCAATTAGCTGTCGTCTGGGCCAGAAAAAAACAAAAAAAAAAAAACACTTTCACAATTTATCAACAAAAAAGAAAACTGAAAAAGAAACATCATCAAAATGTTTAATGTTCGTTTACAATTTGACTCTTTTTCGTCTGTAGTTTTCCTTTCTTTTTTTTCCCCCTTTGTGCGGGAGCCTTGTCTACGGAGTTTTATTATTAATTAAAAAAGCCAGACTGTCAGACAGACATCATGATGATGACGACCGTGACCCCGCCCCAGGAGTGGGTTTGAGTTTCGGTTTTCCTTTGTTTTTCATTTCTTTTGTGATTTTTTGTTCACATTTCTCGCTGAAAGTTCGCTGATCTGACAAATCAGAATTTGTAAACCCGACTAAAGGAAAAACATGAACGATTAGGCCACCCCCCCGCCTTCCCCCCAGAGTAAGAGGGAGAGGCCACTACTCCGCTCATTCAATTATCATTTATTCAGCAGAGGCCCTAGACCTCAGGGTAGACCGGTTTCCAAGCTCTTAATGTGATTAAGTTGTTATGCTTCGACAGTCCCCGGATCGTGCATGCATAAGTTTTTCCATTTTCAATTTCATCCCCCTCCCCCCAAAGAGGAGTGTTGGGTAGGGGATTATCCAGCGAGGTATGGGGAGAAGGGGAGTTCTTGAGTTACCGTAATCCCAAGCCAAAGACTCTGGATAGTTGTGATGTCGTGGAATATATGTAGTGTCCGCTAATAATCACTGCTTAAATTAGTATTTTTTTTAAATTTAGTTAGATATTTGCAGAGAATGCCACGCCTGGCACTTGTAGGGTTAAGGCGACTGCTTGCGAGAGAGAGAAAAGTCCAATAGAAAGAGCGAGAGTGGGAGAGAGGAGGAATGGATCCCGCTAGAGAGCGCATCGAGTACTTGAGAGCCAACGAAAGAGTGCGGGAAAGGGAGGAAAGCTCAAATGGTGGCACTTTTTGGAGTGAGAAGGAGAGAGAAGGAAAGAGGTCCCGTTAGAGAGCGAAACTTGGAAAGGGAAAATCAAATGGGAATATAGCGAAAATGGAGTGGATTGGATTGGATGGACTGCTTGAATTTTGTGAATACTATTTTTAAACCATTCGATTCCTTACCGCCCAAGTTCTAGGCAGTATTTCGGGATACGTACAGTGCCGCTCAGCTGAATAGGTTCAACAATTTTCAATAGTCAAACCGCTATATCTTTTTAACCAATTTACCCATTTTGCATAGATTGATTCATTGTTAATAAAGCAAGAAAGTTTGTAGTTTCCAGGACAGGTTTTTAAAGGCTTTTAGCTCAACTGCATAGGTTGAGGAATTTAAAAATAGAAAATCACATCTTTGTCTGTTTTTAACAAACAAAAATATATAGTAATAGTAAAGTATATAAGTTAGTATTAGGTAGTCCCACCCTACTTCATATTTTCGATCTGTTAAGGACTTGTACTAATTTTCTAGAACATTGTATATTCCCAAAATAATTCCATCGGTTTCTCCATCTTTCTATCTGTTTTGGGGCTAGAATATTTGTGTTTCACACAGTTTTGCACACTTTGAAGTATTTTTACACAGTTCAAGTTCATGTGAATCTCTCAGTAGCTCTGCAACCGGTTTGCCCTTTCATTTGCTTATTGACTAAACACTTTTTTTTTTTTTTTGCGATCTATTGATTTGAATCACCATGCAAACCGCCCAAACCCCCCACCCCCCCACAGCTATCAAATGGTTTTCATTTCAATTTTTCAATTGAAGCCCGTCCAAACAAATTGCATTTGGGACCCCGGACACCCCTGAAATTTTCGAAGGGGAAGTCTACGCGAAGGCCAATTAATGGAACCGAACAGAATGGAACGTTCCAATGGAACCCAAACGGAATGCAAATTCAAAGTGCTGACAGGCGACAATGTCTGATCGGAAGAGAGACTACAGAGACTGGTGGATGTGTCCATTATGGGCAATATAAATAGATATTTGTCTAAATTGAGTTCATGTCATTGGCACATCATTCTTGAAAAAATTCGACAGTCGCCGGATGTGCCGTGGCAGGAACCCCGGCCCGGCCCGGCCATAACCCAACAAATTTTTGTGTTTACTTATAGAAAGGTGATTTTCCATATAGTCGTGCGATGTACGATGTGAGGACTACTCTTTATAGTTTAGTTTTTGGCCATATGAATCACGTTCTCTAATTATACAGAAAAAACAGTCAGAACAGAGATCACGAGATGACGTCTTTTGGCCTTGAAAAAAAAAACCAGAAGATCAAGTCATACACTTGGAGAAAATGCTATAAATTGGGCCTTAAATTGGGGGAAATTTAAGAGAATTTATTGGTTATTTTATGAATAAAGATTATACGTTTTCCAAAGAAAATTACGCATTTTATTGAACTCTACATTTTAATAAAAATATTTAATAATTATATTTTCCAAAATATATGTATAATCAACTTTTTCCATTCGTTCCTTTTTCGATTTTCAGCAAACCTCAACAAATCATAATTTTTGGCCTTCCCCCGCTCCCCCCCTTCCAATCAACACAAATGTTTTCGGCCAACAAATCTGCTTGCTAAGGTGAGTTTTTAACCATATAATGATACTATTTATATATGTATATAATTATATATAGCGTATTAGTGTGGATTGGCGCATGTTTCGGTGACTAAGAGAGTGCCGCATTTAATGACTGATAATTGCTGATGGACAAGAGACAAGCTCCCCTGTCCCTCTCTAACCCATAGATTAGATAATGAAACTCAATGTGTGGCAATCTATATTATCTTGAGTGTGTTGGGGGTAAAGACTGGATTAGATTTTGAGTTAAAAGTGAGAATTAATAGACAACGACAGTCATGGGAAGATCTAGTAACTGGTTCGCAATGGATACTATGATTATAATTGTGGATAATTATTAAATAAAATGCACAAATTTATATTTATTTATTATTTATTTGTTGGTAATTTTTGTGCTTAATCTATCGTAAATATTAAACAAATCGCTTGAGCGGTATGACCTCATTTTCGTGTCAATTGCAGCGATTGTAGCCGTTCACTTATGGGATTAAATTCATTTGCAATCCACAAAGGTCTCCGTTACGGCTGGTCTGATATATCCAGAGCCAAAGGCTGCCAATGTCTTCAGATGGAAGTAAGTAGTCGTCTCTGATCTTCCAGGCACCTTCTGTCATTCTTTTCTAGTTAAGAAACCAAGATGCTAATTGGATAGGGATGAGAAATCATCAGTCTACAGGAAAACATCAATTTCGGGGAGTCTATAAGAGGAGGAGAACCTTGGACCCTTAACGGATCGTATAAACTAGACTCCTGAAAAAATGGGGTTCTGAAAGCGGGTTTCCGTAACTAGAAAGAGGACAGCCATATGTAGGTCTAAACCACTCTAATGGTTTATGCCTCATTCTATTCCTCGTGGATCCAGGTGCCATAATTATTCCTCAAACACCTCCAACGTCACTGGCTGCACCTGACACCCGACAGACAGACAGACAGACAGGCAGCTCTGTGGCCCACCTGCAGTTGTCCCATCAATCTTCTGGTCCCGTGTTCTCTCTACCCTCCTAACCATGGCTCATGGGGGGTGGGGGCTCTTGGGGCTCTTGGGGCTCATGGCTCATGGCTGAGGCATTTTTAATTAGAAAATGCTGCCACGACACCCAATGAAAAGTTGATCGGTGTTGCTGCTGCTGCTGCTGTGTTTATTGGCCCAGGGCCAGCGTGAAAAGTGCAAAGTTTATTGGGCCAATCGAATAATCGAACAAGAATCGAAATCGAAACCAAAGGCAGCAAAGCAGCCCCCAAAAACCGAATGGCAGGGCAGGGACTATTTTTAATTGATGTTTCTGTTGCTTTTGTTGCTGCTTTTTCTGTGACAGTTTCAATTTCAATTTCTAGTTTCGGTTTTTCAATTTGCTGTGTAATTGATTGCCTTTGGGGGCATGCCACTCGGCGGTGGCCATGGTTGAGCTGTGAAAATCAGTGAAAACTTAGACAGATTCAATAAACTAAAAGCCAGAAAAAGGCAAATTTAAATGAAAGGAAAAACTTTCCTTTTGAATTTGTGAAAATTCCCTCTGTGTGTGAGGGAGGGAGGCAGGGAGGCATTTAGCTAATTTTAGCAGTCGTGGCAAGGAGGGGCGGGCTTTTATTTATACACATTTCTAATTGTGCAGCGAAAGAGAACTCTTTCCGACGGACGGCCATCGGTTCTGGTTCAGCACCACCACCCCCCGAATATGTATTATTTTGTAGTTAAATTTTAATTTTAGTTTATTGTTGTTGTGGTTTTCGGTTTTTGGTGGGTTTATTGAACTATAGGTTGCCCACAAAAAACTACAATACAACGGATATGTTTATGCGTTTTGTTGGTGGTTATTTATGGCCACACACACACACACAGAAAGTATTGATGGTTCATTGCCATACATACATATATGTGCCTGGAAATTTTATATATCAGATAACACTAGATACTGCCAGTAGATGACGCCAGTCTGAGATATATTCGTCTGTGTGTGTGTCTGCCCCCGTTTCGCCTTATGCGGGGGAGCTGAACTGGTTCTTTCATTGATCTAATGACTCCCACAGGCCTGTAATTACACCTTGAGGATAGAAGTTGTGGCTGGAAATTGATTTTGAATTATTATGATTACAAAAATTTAATTGGATTTTTTTGGTGTACCGAAAATTTTAATATTTTTTTTGTAATCAAAATTCAATTTTTCAATAATTTTTAATTTAATTTTTTGGCAAACTAAATTATAATATTCTGTAAAAAGGGCAACATTTTTTACTAAATTTTGTTGCAGATTTGTTTTAAATATATTTTCAGAACTTTAAAGGAGTAAAATGTTTATTAATTTTGTTGATAAAGTATTTTTATTGCACTTAAATTATAATATTTTGTTGTTCTATTAAATGCTAAACAGTGTGAAAATAATTCTATACAATTTATAGCTTGCTTTACAAATATAAAACAAATTGCGATTCCCATTTGGCCTGCCCGCTGCCTTATCGCAAATATTTGTACTGTAATTTAATGATCGTACAAGGCGCCACAGCACAAACAATGCTCGTGTACCCTCTACAAACCCATATATGGCAACATTTCTGGCCTCCCATTATTCGCTTATTGGCATCGAGCGTCCGTTGATAACGATAGCGATAACGATTAGAAATCGACCCGCGGAAGGTGTTGCGTTGTTTGATAAGAATGTGGACGCATTTGGAGCCAGCGATCGTAAACCTTGACCAACAAGAAATTGGGGCTAATGAATCAGCTGACGGCCCCGGGGTGGAGTCAATTTCGAAAGGCATTTTCTTTCGTTCGATGCCGTTGGGGATGCCACTTCGTTTTTCCAATCAGCAAACGCAAACGCAAATCCAATTATCAATTGGATCAAATGGAAAGTCGCGCGGAGAAGGCAACCGCAAAGAGAGGCTGACAATCCAATAAACGGGGCGTGTCAATGGAATTAAGGATGGGTGTTCGGTACGGTTCGGTTTGGTTCGGCTAAGGAAAGTTTGAGCAAAGCTGCGCTGCGGAAACCTTTTGGGTTGGGTTCTCTGCTCTCCGACGGATCTGTGATGCTCCGTTGCCTCGTGCCTTGGCTTAGTAAACAAGTTTTTCTCTCTCCTTACACTCTTTTGCTGTTACTCTTTTTCAGTGTTTCTGTTTTTGGTTGCGCATGAATCACTTTTAATACCCTTTAGTTGTAGAAATCAAGGGTATAATGGATGCTCTGACAGGCTTAGAAGAAAAGTGGGAATAAAGCAGAGTTCTAAGGGTATAATGCCTATCATTTCTGCTGTAATTTCTGGTAAAACATAACCAAGAAGTGCTTATACGACTTTTATTATATTCTCTGGATCGTTATTGAATCCAGGGCATCCCCACAGTCGATACTGTAGGCTACGTTCTTCTTTGTGTGTTCTCTGCTTTGCTTTTGTGCTTTGTGCTGCTTTGTCTTTTCCGAAAGGTAACTAAACAATGTACACACACACACAGGCACACACACGCATAGCAATGTACAGTTAAAGGGCAGGCTGGGAGAGAAATTGAGTTTATGACGTTTGCACTTAGCCCCCGACGTACTCGTTCTTGTACAGCATGGCACAGTTATCATTCAGTCAGCGCTGCCGCTGCCGCTACCTCCGAGCTTCGACGAGCTTTCTGCCCAGCCAGCAGCAGGCGGAAGCAGCGTTGCCGGTCACCCAAGCGCACAGCTTGCGTGAATGAATATTGGATTCATCCCCACGCAGCGCAGCGCAGAGCAGAGCAGAGCAGCGCTGTCATTCTGGATCCCTCTGGCAGTCGCTGCATCACTTATTCATTCACTCCAGTCAGTCAGTCAGTCAATCAATGGAACTTGGTTTTCGTTACCGTTTTGTTTTTCGTTTGATGCTTGATTGCATTGCCAGCGGATATTGACGGTGCCTTTGGGGCACCCCTGTTTTTTTGGTCTCTGGGGGCCATGCCGGAACCTTCAGAATTCGATCAGAATGAAAGACTTAATTTGTGAATGATTTAAGGAACTTTTACCATGGCATTCCACATTCCGAGATTTATAAAAATATTAAATTTGCTTTTAAAATTGTTTCACTTTTTAATCGTTAAGTAAAAGTAAAAATATATGTTAAAATTAAGTCCAATTAAAGATAGAGAAAGAGAATAAAAAACCGTCACTGGTTCATGGTCAACTCGTGCGCCTAATGGCTGCCAACGATTTTTCAAGCCGCATAATTACACCAACAATTACAACAACAGAAATATTTAAACAAAGGCAACAGCTACCACAACCAGAGAAAAATTGTTTCATTTACATTGTGCAGCGTCATGGAATCTGGTCAATGAATCAGTCAGAAATGCTCCTCAGAAATGGCTCAAAGCACGCCAACACACGACGAGCAACCATTAAAAAGTCTGCACACGCGATGCCAAATCTTGCATACATACATACAAATATGGGATATATAGTATATCGTAGTAGCATGCCACGCCCACGCTCGAATCAGGCTTATTATGGGGGCAACATTTATTGGCAACCAAAACCGCAACTTGTCCAAATGGAAAATGGAAAGGTGGGAAGGTGAACAGGTGTCGCGTCTCAACACGGGGTCTGAGTGGGAGAATGTGTGCGTGTGTGGGCTCTGGCCATTATTAACAGATTATTAAAGACAACTCGAGTGGCCAAGGGCAGGTAAATAAATACAGGTAAATAGATCAACATAATCCGAAGCACGTGCTGCCTTAAAATAGAGCAAGAAATTAATAAAAAAGAAAGAAAATTAAGCAACAGAATGCCTGATTGTGGTTTGTGTAAAGGGTACTCTACATTAGAGTAGATAAAGATCTATGGCTATCGAAGAGTGCATAATAAAGGGTATACAAAGTCGCTTTGAGAGAGAGAGAGAGCGCGTCAATCCCTGCCGAGCAAAGCAATCTAAGAAAGAATTGCCCTGAGAGAAAGAGAGAGAGCAACAGAACGTAGGAGTTGGGAGAGCTTACAAATGCATGCGAAAAAAAACGATGCTCTTGAAACGAATCGGCACGTTTGGCC